AGGCTCCACAGATTCGCTGAGCCTTTGTTCAAACTCTTGTGGGTTTTTGGAACTTTCCCTTCTTAGTGGCAGTTCGTTTTTAGAGGGCAATGTCACCACTACATTAATGACACTCTTTATTTTCCAGGGGTGCTACTGGTAGGAGCTAGGAGGACATGCATGTTACAGGGATATAGGTGGATGTGTATTTCACGGCAGCTTCCCCCTTGGACTACAAATCCTTTCAAACATCTTGCGTCACTCTACTGACATCACCAAACAATTGTAGTCCATGTGAAACCAACAGGAGCTGGTTCAAACAGAATCGAAACATTGCATCGTGCTGGTTTTCTTTAGACTAACACTGTGACAGTGATATTGTTGGCTGTCTTATCTAGGAAGAATTTGTTCCACTTCATTCTAATTTCGACAAAAGAGAGGGTTTATGATTCAGGCGATATTCCTCTTATTACATGAAGAATTGGATGACCTTCTACTTCCGAGCGTTGAGCAAATGAATACTTCCAAGTAATTGTGCTTCTTTTGCTTCTTTTTACTAGAATGTTGTTTGCCTCTTGCAACAGCTCGTACTAGTGTCAATGCCCCTAACTTGCCATTCTATGGACGTTACAGTCACTACTTTGTGATATGATTGTTGAAAAAAGTTCAAAGTATTTTCGTAGGCTAAAAAAATGTTCAGCCTATATACGAAATTCGGAATTCCTCTTATTACATGAAGAATTGGATGACCTTCTACTTCCGAGCGTTGAACAAATGTATACTTCCGAAGTGCTTCACTTTACTAGAATGTTCTTTGCCTCTTGCAACAGCTCGAACTAGTGTCAATGCCTCTAATTTGCCATTCTATGGATGTTACAGTCACTACTTTGTGATATGATTGTTGAAAAAAGTTGAAAGTATTTTCGTAGGCTAAAGAAATGCTCAGCCTATAAACGAAATCCGGAAAGAGCTATGGGCATTTGATCAAACTCACGGTTTCTCAGGTCTAGGGGAGCCTGTACTCTTCCGAAGCGTATCCATCTCTTTCTCGTTGAAAATGCGACTTTCTTGTTTAGTCTAGAAAGCGATAGTCATGAGGGTTGTTAGTTTGAATTTCCCCTTAAGGACCACTCGTGCTACTTGCTTAGAAAAGGCAGTGAAAGGTTCGAGGATTCGATACAATTAGTATTGATAGTCTCTTCATCACCTGG